TTGGTAGGTTCGCGCCCGTAGCTGAACGTCACACAACCAGCGACATAAAATTTGGTGAGGTCAGTCTTCGATAAACGAGAAGTAAGCAAGTCATGTTCCGACAGGGCTGAATGTGGTATTGCGTGAAATACTTCAGCAGAGCCTGAAAACCTTGGCCATCCTTTGCTGAAGTATTTAACTCTCTGATCGTTCATGGAATAACTAGCCACATCGGGCTATCTGTCTGCATAGTTCTGGTCGCTTTAGGATCCCCAAATAGTGTAACTTTGGCGTGACCACCTCCAATGTTTCTTCTTCATGTGGTTCACAAGTCACAACGAAAGTTTGCTGAAAAGACTAGTGAATTTTTAATGCATGGAAAATCCGTCATGTCAGCTGATTTGGTGCATCCACACAACCTGTTCAGGGCTCAACCTTTCAAGGTCAACTGGACAAACAGGTCAAGACAGTAGAAAGGCTCGCTCAAGCGACCAGTAATCAGTCGAAGTTGACTTTTAACCAATGCAAGCTTATCCTCCCACGAACTTCCAAACACAGCCTAATTGCGCTCACCAGGTACGCATGATACCAATTCTACTGGTAGCCAAACATTTGCTACCAAGTTTGCCGAAAAAACAAAGAAAATTATTACAATTACTAATATTCTGTTCATTTGCATCAACAGTATTTCTTTGCCCGAGTATGCAATTCCTGAGAGCAGAGTTCAAGTATCACCTTCTTGTATTATTCCAAAACACCATACTTAGGGATTTGAGTTGGATGCCCGTCAATTTCTTCTCGGAGTTGCAGACAGGGTTGTTGAACAAGATTGTCAAGGCGAAAAAAATTCATCCTGTTAAGTCACCAGCGAATTACATCAGAGACTTTTTGTCCTGAAGAAAAAGGGCGGTGCATACAGCCATGTTAATTCTCTTATGTGACCTCTGACCTCTAAAACATGAAGAACTTATAGATCTTCGTCGAGGTTTTTGGTGAACAGTAACATGCCAGAGAACTTGGGCTTGACTGCCGTACAACTGCACCACTTTATTTAAACGGAGCCGCGGGTGAAAGCGGAAGGTATTTCATACTGGTCACCAGAAATATCTGGGGTGTTTACAGCCTGAAGAATTTATTGGAAAAATTTGGCAGCAAACCTATTGCGAGAAGGCCACTAGAGACGGCTAGCAGCTGTATATTGTGACGTCTAAAACGAACCGCAAAAATAATCAAAGTTATGGAGTCCTGAAGGCCAGAAAACTCTAGATTTCTTTCAGTTGTGAAATATTTCTGCCAAACCCCACTCTGATTGTCTTTTCGCTTGATTGACACCGAATTCTGCGTGAAGAACGATATCATTTTTGGTAGACGATAATTTCGCTTGTGTACCACATAGCTGGGTGAGCGTATATCATAGCTGAAAAAGTACCGGGATATTTGTCGCTCAGTACGATCAACTATCAGGGTACATCATAGTGTTATGTGCGTTCTGAAAATGAAGTGCGCGTTGCTTCGTTAAAGTCCTACTTCCAGAACGTATCAATGTAAATTCGTTGAGGCCAGCCTAATATATAGGATGCCGGTGATCAAAGGCCTAAAAGTGCCCCAGTTCTTCCACACAAAAAGACGAAGTCATACAGTCAATTGACAATACTACCTCGCTGTAGTGTGGTGCAAGCAAACTCTGGGACCCAGATATATTATATATATAATTGGCCTTGACTGACAGGCTGAATTCCAGCCCGGAAGTTGTGTAGAAGTTCCATTTAGCACATTTAGCCACATTTAGCCAGTGAAATTGCGTGTCTACTTAAAACTTTTCACGACTAGTAGTGGGACTTCCAGAAGCACTCGAGATATGCCATGAGGCTGGGATATTCAGTATGGATCAAAAAATTATGGCTGCGAAGTACACTTAGAAGAGTGAAATGAGCCTGGTTAGATTTTCCCTGCCGTTTTAAATCGTAAGCACTGTCGTCTGAATATTCCAGTACGACATGATTCTCGTCTACATTTGCGGTTGAGAAACCTTCCAACCTCCATCTCTGTAGCTCTTCTTTTGTGACTATACATTGGGCCCGGTTGGGAAGACTTTTGGAACACCTATTTATTTGTGCAGTCCCACTAGTCTCAATACAGACTGCCTATCACACTCATAGACGAAAGAATATGTTTAGAATTAAAAATGGACGAAGGAGAAAGCAGAAATGAGTTCAAGGAAATACAGGACTGTTTGGGGTCAATACGTATGCCCTTAGTTTAACTCTCTGCGAACTGCCAAAGTGCACTCGAAGACAACTCAGCCAGAAACGTGTCTGTTATTGTCGGCTTGGGTGCTACCATGCCGACCTTATGAACGTTAAGAGCTCTGCTATCACTGCATTAGGCTGACGCATCTGCAAATGTTATATTCACAATAATTTCACTCATCAGACTACCAGAAACTTTCGCCGAACCATTCGTGTGATAGTTTTGCTTCCTAAACTAAAGCCGAAACTTGTTGACCCAGCTACTCACTTGTATACATGGGAAGAGCTAGTGGGAACAGGTAGGGATCAAAAGCTCTTTGACGGATGGATTGGCCTTTTAGAGCTGGTCTAATGTTCTGGGTTGAATCCACATTATTGTGTCGCTGAGCTGGAATCCAACGAGAAAAGTGGAAAGAACATACAGGGTATTGTTGGGAGAGTGTGGGCCCCGCGTCCTGTCACAAGTAGAAATTACAAGACCTCCTCACACTATTATTGTAAGAAGAAAAACCCTTACCGCGAAGCCGTTTATTAGCAAACACATAGCGAACAAAAAACCTATTGGACAGGAAAGTAAACATCCTTTATGCACCTTATTTAAAAGAAAACGAACATCTCACGTGTTTTCCTCAAATTTCGTGGATATTCATCGAATATCGTGTAGTGTGTGGACGCTGCAGAATAATTCCACAAGTTCCGTACAAAACCCCACCTTTCATCAGATGCCTGGATGGAGTTACGAGAAAACCACACACTACTCGCATGCTGCATCACTGGTGTCCACCGTTACAACAGAAAGAATCCGTTCCCAAGGAGAGCAAAGCGTCCTAAGAGGTCGTCACCCGATGAGCCAATCAGCACTTGACTACATGATGTGGTCTCGGTGATTCAAGAACGAGTGGCCTTTCATCTTTTGAAAGTGAGAGTTAATCACACTGCCGAGCAACCGCTCGTGGCCGAACGGTCGTGTTGTGTCAATGGCGGAAAATTCACAAGTTCGAAACTCCAATGTGTTTTGTTAGATGCTCAATGCTGATGATTCACAGTAAGGATGACAATGCTCCTCGGAATTTCAGCATGTCATCTTCATGGTAGGGCGATATTTCCAGTACGTTTCCCAATGACGTCGGCACCAGTCGTTTTTTGAGTGGTATAATTTTTAGCACACTCACCGAGATTTCCTCTCCCAAAGCTCCTAAGTTTTTTTGGAGCCTGCGAAATTTTAGTATCATCGTAGAAGTTTACTTCTACGTATAGCTTTCGACTTTGAGGAAATACACTTTGCTTTATTAGGATAAGCGATGCCCCCAGAATAAAATTTGTTGGAGAATGAGTATTGCAATGAAACAGAGAGGAGCGACAGAAGTTTTGGGACTTTGTTTACCCGATTTATGGCATGCAAGCTGACCAACGTGGCATGTTGGAAATGGTTGAGCAGTTCACAAATGTGAAATTTTGATGTTGTAAAACCGATGTGCAAAGACAACTAGAGCTCTCAACCAGCGTTCCGGCTGGCAAACTTATCGCAGTCCAAAGGCTAGTGAACAAGCTACCACATCAGCTGCATCCCCAGACTTGGAGGATGAACCTCCTGTGAATGTAAATTCCACACACTCATCATGCTAGCAAGAGTGACTGTGGGCTTCACAGGGACAGCTCATTATCGCTCGATTGTCTACCGTGAAGCTCAAGCTGTCATGCCATGACATGATTTAGGTTGCAGACTGTCCACTACTGCTCACTTGAAGTTGTGACAGAATCATTAGGGAAGCATGCAGAACTTCTCCAAATCCAGGTAGTTGGAGGATACATTGCGCATTTTCAGCCATTTTTATTGCGCATTTCTATGCTTACCACTCCAAACATTCGAATCGATAGAAACACAACCTTATATGGAAATGCTAAAAACACAAGGTGCTGTGAAGGTGAGCACTGCTGGTTACCCGCCATTTTCTTGGTGTAGGCAGCTTGAGGGATCTAGTATCTATCTGTCACTCGGACTGCAGTCTTGAAAAGTTTACTGATTCCACGTACAACTTCCGTTTCAATGAGCCCTGGTTCGAAGCTGATCAAATGGCAGAGTGTAGACCATCAAATGCGTAGTTTGGTTCTCATGCGTACACTTCTGCTATTGCGGATATAATGTGACAGAAACAGTAGCATGGTGTTACGAAATTCATGAATGTTTACTGGTTAGCCATACTGTCGCAAAATTAATAGGCAAGTGATTGAGGATAGTCGAGGCTTATTAAGACGTTCTGTATCAATTCCAAGAGGACTACGTCACTCTGGTAGTATGAACTGGCGCTTGAAGAATAAATTCAGGTTCAGCTCCTTTTATTTATTCACTATAAGAGAGAAGACAAATCAGGTATGTTTGTGTAATTCAAAGTCGGCCGAAGAAATAAAGTAGGCTGTCTCATTACTTAGGTTATCCTACTGAATGCTCTTTATGTAAAGTGCCTACGAGATAGAGCAATTTTTTCGCCACAGTAGATGTTTAGTCTAGAAAAAACCACCAGATCCAGCCATCCATGGTTAGTATAAGTATTTTCGATAACTGATCACTAAAAAGGAAGGCAGGATATTTGGAGAATTTATGTTGTACACCCAGACTGAGCCGGATTATAGCTGTACAGCTACTCTTCTTCGAAAAGAAAGGAATTTATCACTTCTCAAATTTTACGGGCTGGATTGGATAGCGATCAATGATTGCACATGCTCATCCTACTCTTTATTATTGTATTGCAAATAAGGAAATTATGAATGAGCGCTTCCGTTTCGGAAACACCAAAAAATGTCACCGAAACAGTAGTTTTCTAGTACACTGGATGTATGACGGAGATATGGTCAGCTGGATGAGGGGAGATCAAATCAAATTGTAAATGAAAAACAAAGAGGTGGGGAAGCATGATGTGATGCGTTAGAAAAGTTGAAGTTCATGCCACTCGGATACTTGTTTGTCTGGGTGTTCAAGCATGGCGGACCAGTGTAGAACTCCTCGACCTTTGGATACCAGTTCCCCACCAAGAACGATAAAACAAATTTGCTTGTCTATGGTGCGGTAGAATAATCGGAGAAACAATGGAGAATGATAGTGATGTGAGTGAGAAGGAACCAAAACGTATCATGAGAAACTTACTGGTGACGTGTTCATTACGACAGAGACCTCTTTAACCGGAAGTTGTGGTGCGAGCGTTGTGGTCAATTTTCAAGAGTCACCCCACTAGCAGCACGCGGGAACGCATGCTCCGAAATCTACGGTATCCGAAAGTACCATGATGTTCATTTTTCTATGGTGAATTCTCCTGATGTTAAATATTTTTAAACCCAAAAATAATTCTGGGATTTCCTTCGTCCTGCTTCCAAAATGAAAAGTATCTTCAAGATGCAACACTATTATAAGGGGGTTAAAAATTGACCAGTCACCACCCCGCTTGATCGTTTAAAACGGTCAGAGATTGAACGTAGTCCCCAAATCCCCATGAATCAAGTATGACAGTTAAACACCAAATTATGCGTAACAGGTGGTATACACTCATTTAAAAATCTTATACTCCCTGGAGTCATTTTAATGGGCCCCAGGCATCTACACCCAACTTGTGAGCTATAAGTAGGACCAAACCCATAATCAGTTGTCAAAGGGTTCTCAGCAATATCAGATAAATAAGTTCTTGTCTTGAAAATCATTTCAGATAAAGGTAGAGGGGTATTTGTACAGTGTACTTGATTAAGGAATATTATGAACTACAGGAGTAGCTGCCATTTAGTCGGGGGTTCAGCTAGCAACAAGTTAACTGGCGAATCAAAGTTTAAAAAGTCCTCCTAAATTCTAATTTCATCCTAGTCTACATTCAGCCCATTATAACAGAGCTGATCACTTTTCATTTAGCTAACGTAACTAATGTCTAATGAGCAGGCTGTTTCAAACAAAATCTGAATCATGCTGTCAGTCGCTTTCAACCAAGTGCTCCCTCTCTCCCAGAGGGATATATCATTTATTGCAAGTCACCCAGAAATGACCCCACTATTCATTAGACATGGCATGAAAAATCAAAGAATAAGCTTATTGCTACGGTGCTTGTGGGTAGTCAGCATATATCTGTCATCTATAAGTGGTATCCGTACTTTTTCTTTTGTTTCAAGTTGTTTGCGGTGAAATGTCGCAGAAAGTGCCATACGATAACTGGACAAAAATATCACATAAATGGTGGCTTTGTGCTACATGATACATATGATATAAATGTAAACGGCTTTGTTATCAGTTTCCAAGCACAATGCGTTAACTCAGCCTGTTGTTCATCAGGATGTCCAGCATAAGCTCTCAGGTGACAAGGCAGTCCTACAGATATGGTGAGACTTCTAATTTAAACTATATTTCTAATACCGATGTAAAAAACCCTAATGAATTGAAAACCGTTCAACAGAAAAGGCCCTAATAATTCTCGCAGTTTAGAAGAAGGGAAAATATTGGACATGAGGAATAAAATAAACAAGGCAGTTTGAAATATAAAGAAACATCTGAAGTAAAGTTGCTGAAATCTGAGCAACACCAGTCTGTCCGTATTCAAATGACTCATTCACAAACACATGGCAACAAGCCATCAGGTCAGTTAGTCATGCTACTGATGGGAAGCTCCATGAGAATAGTGCTCATTTTGAGGTGAGTTGGGTCCCCATAATCTGTTTCAACTCGATATCGTAGTATTATTTGGGGGTAGGAAATCTAAGCCAATACACATTATTGCACAATGGGCTATTTTTTGGTGTTTGAAAAACTGTTGGAATAGCACTTACCTATAAACCCATGTTGAACCAGCGTTATTCGTAAGTTAATATTTGTGGGATCCGGTATCTTTTGGAAGACAAATGATTCGTCAAAGCTATCTCGCGTTCCAAGAGCCTCTGTGCGTTTGGATTTTAGTTCCTTTCCCTGGAGCCCCTGGTAGAGCACCACTTTGGCATACACGTCTAAAATAATGGATAGAGAAACGGTGAGGAACTAAGAAGCAATAACCAACCATGGAAGAGATGACCGTTATCACTGAATGACTTTTGGTGTCTAGTACTTTTCACGACTGTTTTCGAATAAAACAAGCCGCCCAAGTCCACTGGCACTGTTCTAGTAGCGCGACTCGACGTTTGCCATTCGGTAAAGTTACCATCTTATCCCACATTCGCAGAATCTCGTTCGTAAAATTTCACAGTGCCTCCAAATTTTGTATAATAAAGTGAGCGAAGTCTTTACCGTGTTTGTAACTTTTCGTCGATGTAGATGACCTCAGCAGGGTTGGCCTCAAATCATTCGGCGCTATGGGTTCAAGTAGATAATCTAAAACATCTCTAGCACACCCACGGTTTTCTTGAATAACTACACAACCTAATCCGTACTGATACGCTACACGACCTCTTAATTTCGCTATATGTTCCCTTTTATATGAGAGGCTTCGTGGATTTCCCGGTACACAGTAAGATCGGCTCTGCAGGCTGAGGCACTTTGCCGAATGTTGAATAAAAGCTGGTTTAAACATTTTCACGTGTATTTTGTAGACGCTCATCATCTTGTACAGCTCGACTGTCGTAGAGTCTGGCTCACTTATAAACGATCTACATCAGTCTTATTTCATTTCATTTCCCTGCCTTTTTGTTGTTGCTTTTTATTCGTGATTTTGTATGATGTCCAGTCACTTTCCTCGGTGTCTTTGCCTACACATCTAATCAGCAAATTTCGTAGTAAATCAGGGAGTGAAGTCATACATATTTCTTCTCACAAGTGCGTTTAAAAATCCTGTTTATGTCGTGGAGTTATCTTTACTTACACGATCACCTTCCTGTATCATTGTTTGCATTTTATGTGTTTTGCTTTCCAGTCATTTACGATTGACCGATTTCGTTTTGAGTATATTTCACTGGTCCATCAGAGAGACGGAGGCTAGTGACTCTATTTTTTACCTACCTACCTACCCATCTATCTATCTATCTACTATCTATCTATCTATCTATCTATCTATCTATCTATCTATCTATCTATCTATCTATCTATCTATCTATCTATCTATCTATTCTATCATTTATCTATGTACATATCTGTCTGTCTTTCAATCAAAATATCTATCTATCTATCTATCTATCTATCTATCTATCTATCTATCTATCTATCTATCTATCTATCTATCTATCTATCTATCTATCTATCTATCTATCTATCTATCTATCTATCTATCTATCTATCTATCTATCTATCTATCTATCTATCTATCTATCTATCTATCTATCTATCTATCTATCTATCTATCTATCTATCTATCTATCTATCTATCTATCTATCTATCTATCTATCTATCTATTTATCTATCTATCTATCTATCTATCTATCTATATACCTATCTGTCTATCACTCTATACATCTATCTATACATCTGTCTATTTATGTGGTCGCATAGAACTATCCGTCTGCCTCTGTTCTCCTGCTAATAGCAGTCCACAAATATGAAACGACGATACTTATTATGTCACGAAATTCTAATTATTGTGCTTGGATGTCTTAATCTGCCTTAATTTGACGCCACTAATGGCAACAAAGATGCTGAGGATATTGAATTTGGTTATTTGACGCATTAGCTCTATGCGCGAGTATGTGAAAACCACCTACCAACAATAATTAATTTATAGTAACAACTTCTGACTATCTACTGAAAGCAGTACCAAGCCATATAAAACAGAAAATTTATATAATTGAGCATTAGACAATGCTATATTGACTGCATCTGATGGGAGTTCCTTAGCTTAATTGCTTAGCAGGGATCCTCGGATATTAGTGTACTTCTGCTCAATGACAATCGGACAACAGTAGCTTGACAGCTTGTCTTGACAGCTTGTCTTAGGTTTGTAAACGTCATACGCACTTGCGATGCTTGTTAATATGGGAAATAGGCTTTGGATAATGACTCAGCCTGTCCCGCAGCCTTTACCTTTTTTTCTATGTTACTTACCTTCCAACTTTTGTGTTTAATAAATAAATGAAATTTGCTGTCACCATCTCAACGCCTAGCCTATGTTTTTTAATTTGTTGGACCACAATTTAAACTTAACCATATCTTTACCAGTTCAGTACGGACCCCAAAATAGTAGGTTTTATCCATTAGGAGACTTTCAAAAATTTCCTGTCCCTGCACCAACCGTAAAGTCAAGTCATACAGCCTAAGACCTACAGCACAACCATCTTTAGCGGCAGGGCTGCACCGAATCGCCATTAGCCTACTGGCTTCCTAAACTGAAGTGCTCATTGAGTTGCGAGAGGTACAACTAGTATTTGTTTGGATAGTTATTTTTCAAGTTCAATAGACAAGCTGCAAAATGTAGTTGAAAATGAATTTGAAAGATTTTTGTTTACTGTTTAAAAGCGGTTTGTGAAGCATACTGTTTCAGCATCGCGGATTCGTCGGGTGGGAGAAGTTACCGTAACCCTGGAAACGAAAATAACCCACAGCTCTCTTTAAAAATACCAATCCATAAAAGACTCATCAGTGGCGTTGCGTTTTGTACGAATTATCCGTGGGATTAATATCCTCTGCCGTCTTAAAAGTAGTTTAGAAAAAAATCGTGCAGCTAAAACTTGCTGCTTAGCAATAAAGTTGGTAACTTGAATCTAAACGGGAATAACCTTTAATGAGACCACAATTCATGTTGTCATACAATGCGATACGATGTTGAAGGGCTGTCCAAGTGACGATGTCTCGGAAGTAGCTAAATATGATTTGGGATTCATTTAATTTCGCCGCATAGGCAGGAAGGATTTGAGGTGTGTGAATCCGATTGCTCTGTCGGTCAATAAAGTGACTTGTTTCCACACGGATACTGGAAAAAACAGACGTTATCCTTTCTGGATGTGATTCACCTCATACGATCTTGTATCAACCAGCGCAGCCAATGGTGTCTGGGCAGACTAAGGATCACGTGACTTGTGGCCATTATTCTCTTGTAAAAAACAGAGTTATCCTTTCTGGATGTGATTCACCTCATACGATCTTGTATCAACCAGCGCAGCCAATGGTGTCTGGGCAGACTAAGGATCACGTGACTTGTGGCCATTATTCTCTTGTAATCAGACTGCTAAAACCTTTCCTTTGTCATTCTTGAATGGTTAGTGGAACTTGAAGCGACAATGTTCTGTACTAATTTGGGCGTCTCTGAGCTGCACGCGGAGAGTCAGGACTGTACTCAGGTTGTTGTAGTGGCTATAGAGACATATCCTCAACGTCATAGGTGAACCATGTTATTTTCTAAGGTGCTGGCATTTGAGGGAATGTCTAGCTGGCACTTTCACTGACATGATACCCCGAAAGTCCATCATGCTCTAGATTATACCGCTACTAAGATGTATATCGCGTATGTATGTATATCTTGTCCATAAGCCACCTTACTTTTATCGATCCATATGAACAGCTATTCCAGGAAATTCTCAAATTACCAACGCGATATGCGGTTTAAGAATCCTCCCGCATCACAGCGAAACTAACTGAACTTTAAACAAAAACCTGAGGCTACCCGCCGATGTCTGGAGCAAGAATTTCAGCGATAGACGCAAGATTCATCCTTTGTCCTACGAACATATTCTTTTCAACTTTATTCTGTAACGATGTTTAAAACCGACTGCAACTTACACAAGCATACGACAGTGGAACGTGGGTTTAAATTTGGAGCTGATGTAGTTAACCTAGAGATAGCGATTGTGATTTTGAAGGTGTTATTCTGCGAGAGCTCATCCCCGGTCTAGTTGTGTGCAGGTAATAAAATGCTTCCTCATCGGGCACTGGTGAAGCCGGCAAATTTCTAGCCGTGAAGAGATTCTCCGTTTGGCAATTGTGCTTAGGATTTTGGAAATGGAAACCTTAATGGAAGCGTCAGTTGAATAGATGTAAGGGAAGTCAGGAACCGAATTTTCCATAGTCAAACTCTGCATGAACTAGGTAACGAGTAGATGAATCATGATGCGAACCTATCGAAGATCAATATTCCAGGGTTTGATTATCAGCTTGCACAGCAATTTACATAATTTACAGTACAGAACCAAAAACACTTCCGGGCTACTTTGCGATTGAAACTCGGCTAGTCACTGAGGACTGGCATCCCCCTCTTGCGTTTTAATCCATATATCCGTCTATTTTTACTGACTTTGGAAAACTAGTAATTGGTCTAGAGCTTTGAATGCTACTAAGTCGATTTCTAACCACCGAAACTTCTGATTACCTGCACTTGTTTGTTCCTACATAGAAGGAATGAGCTGTGGTTTATTATTGATTCTCAATTACAGTGTACTTTATTCACACTAAAATTTGACTATTTCACAACTGAAACTAGCCTTAGTTCTGGCTGCCGTGTTCTCCAGCGTTTTTCTAAAAGTGGCGGATGAAACTCTAATGAAGATAACAGCCCTCTGTTAGGATTGTGCGAAACCTACATGAAATGATCTACTCTTACCGACATTTTATTTGCACAAACATTTGTCCAAGACGATCGGGCTCGAATAACGCTTTCAGTGTTGTAGTGTACAGGGGTATTCGAATTTCATTCCAACTCATCGAATAATAGTCTTTGTTAGACATGGATGTTTTATTCAGGTTGTTTGGGAAAAGTTTGCATAATTGTCTCACACAGCTGGACGCTACTCTAGTTTGTCATATTTTCACTGATAAAGCACTTTCATCTAGGGTTCAGGGATTTTTGTTGCCCTCAGTTGGATGGGCATATTAAAATTCTAACTTAGCTTTTGGACATGTCAAGCAGTTACCCTGGCAAAATGAACAATAAAAAGTGATTGATTCAGATTGATCGACAAGCTCAAGGGAACTCACCAATCGGCAGTCCATTTTCTTTAAGTGGCAAGTTTCGACATTCAAACAAGCCAACAATTAAACGTTCGGTTGTAGGAAAATAGGTGAGGGCAACCAACAGTTGGGGATTGGCCGAAATCTGACGCACACATAATCAAGAATTTAATGTTGGCAACCGAAGATTTGATGAATGTGCGGAGAAAAAGCTAAAAAAGCGTTGGCATTACCTGGTGGAAAACATCTTTAGCACGCAAGCTAGCAACGAGCTTTGGTTAAATATTAATGCGATAGAAGTTAGTGGAGGGAGTATCTTCACATCAGAGTCAACTATCATGAATAATGAGGGGCAGCCAGTAACTGTCAACTGGTGAATCTGTTGCGTAGCAAATTTGAAAATAAACACGTAAAAAATGATCTTTTAGTCGAAATGCGAATAAAGATGCAACTTGTAAACTAAATAAATAACCTAAAAATGAAAATACTAAAAGAAATGATTCAGAAAATGGGGAGTCATAAGGTAATCAGTCACAGTAAAGACCTCCAAATGCAGGTTACTAACGGGAATACTAGTTACTAACCTGATTACAAAATGCAGTTTGCTCTGTTTCCTGCTTTTGGATCGTCTCATTACAATAACATGCTTTTTCTCACTTTTTTTAAGGGTTTTATCCACAACAAAGTGTAGTTAGTCACCTGAGAAAGCTTGTAAGATCTACAAAGGAGACATAACCAAGACCATGAGAGATTTTATGCCCTTAATTTCATGGTTGATCCAAGGAAATAATTAATTGTTTCGCATCCACTATTATTTTTAATTAGCTCGGCATCTGGGCCATATGCTTTTATAAGGAGGTACATTCACCCATCTCAGAGAAGGTAGGGAGACTCAAAGTACGAAATGTTCACTGCTTTGCTACAAGTGGCGGAAACAATCCATTAGTACGACAGTAGAAGATTTGTATTTCACTGCGCGGTTAAAGTCGGAGAAGCACTGACGATTCGAGAGTTTTAGATGAAATCTGTACTGATTCAACATTAGGTTGAGGTCGATGAATTGCAATCAAATGTGGCGGAGCTGAAAAAGGTTACCTACAGCCATTATAACGTCAGATATTCAAACGATCTGTTTATTTTTGGAAAACTTGATTACTGAAAAACGTTGTCATTAGAATTGGTGAAGGCTTAACCAGTAGGCATCTCGTCAATCTGGATATGCTCTTTTGTAATGTCACACGAAGTAGCGGACTATGATAACTTTCAGCCACAGTCAGCTGTTTAGAGACTGAAGAAACTTGCATCGTCCAGGCCACGTGGTCTCCTCTTTACTGGCTCATTAAAAGTCAATTTCTGCAGAATCCTCAGAAGTTTTCCTTCTTGAGGTCACTTATGCATTTGGTTAATGAGACAAAAGGTGGCTTTCATTTTGAAAGTAAAATTATCCTGCACTGAGAATCCATGGGTGCTGAAATGCGAAGTGCCGGGTTGAACTTTTAGTGCTAAAACATTTTATCCAAAAGCGGGCTGGTCACACAACGGGTAGTACACCTTTACCTTCCCATAGATTGTATCTCTCTAGTGAGTCGTAAAACACACTACAGTTTTTTTCCAAAAAAGAGTAGAGCAGCTGTACAAAGCTCTCAGATTTTTTAATCTTCGACCGCGTTTTCAGAACGGCTTCCATTTTATGAAACATCAAAACTGCCTTGTAGCCTACAAGATGTTACCGAACTGTCAGCTATCTATGTGGCAACCTGATTGTGACCTGCTGTTCGGAATGAACAACATTTAATATGGAGAAAACAACAACTGTTATTTCAATCCCTGGCACGTGGTGTTACCGGAACTTACGCCACTCTCATCATCTAGCTGAAGATCTCTAAAGGTGCGTATTTCTTGATCGTCAGATGTGTTGTTTACCAGAGTTGAAAGACCATAAGTAGCATAGCCAATCAGTTTGCAACGGCGTCTTTTGTCCAGTCCAAGGACAAGAATTCGTAGTGTTTGCTGTCCTAGGTCATGCGCAGCAACCTGTTGGGAGTATGCAGAAAACAATTATTTGTTTGAAATCAAATGACGCTGTCTATCATCATTGAAACATCCAGATTGCTAGTATCTCATCGCTTTATCTTACTTCCTGAGTGGTGTTATCTTAAGGAGCGAACAAGCTACACGGGTCGAATCATACTTATCCTAAAGACGTCCAATTTAGTGGAAAATTTCAACCATCAATGTCTCTCGATAAATAAAAATTCTACTAGATGTCGAAACTGCATGTCAGCTGGCTTCGGTATTAAATGGATCTGACTGGACCATAGCAGAGCATCTTACGCGAAAAGTTTCATCTGGTTAACACATTACTCATAAGGCTGATGAAAACTCTTGGAAAGCCCCATTAGTCGCTTTCACCATTCTTGAGGCTCATCAGTTAGATGAAGCCCAGAATTTCCTTGATCCAAAAATGCACGAAACTAGTGAAATACACACATTTGCACACTACTCTAGTTTTGATGGGGAACGCACCTGGAACCCAGCTGAATCTCTATGAAGTTTTCAAGCATATGATTGTATTTCCTTAAGTTCGTACACCTTGGTTTCAATCAAAACAGAAAGCTGACAGGACGCAACGACTTCATCTACCTGATGGGCTCGAAAAAGAGGGAAACGGGGCCATCGAACAGTCTCCTGCACATCTGTGAATAGTGTATTACGTCTATACAACGCATCACGACATCTCGAATATCTTGCAAAATGAGGTATGGGGCGGCCTTTTGCAACACATTCACTTGCTGACCAATTTTATAGGCGAGAGGTTCACCTGGGTCCCAGGTGAGTCCAAATTGGTATACACATGGGTGTATTTCACGTGACCAGTTTTTGTCACCTCTTTTTCTCTTCCAAAGGGTATTCAAACTGGCGGTTGAAGGAAATCACTGCCAATCGGGTCTTTGCGTAGTTTAATAAATACACACACAGCCTTAGCTAACATTACTGTTGTATACCCATTCTATTGCTTTATCTGTTGCCGCACTCAGAAATATGGTGTATCACGTTTAACTCAAGCTTTAAGCGGCCGTGAAGCGGACGCTTACTGATGAGGAGACCTAACCCTCAGAGCCATATTCCGGCTCTGTGATCAATTCCTATTAGTGGAGGGGCTATCGTTCTAGTCCCCTACAGTTGTTTCTATGTCAAACGACTGATTTTCCTAAAATCCCATCCGTTTTCTCAACCACTTGTGATACGCTCAGGGGGTCGTACAGCGTACAAGTTCTAGTTTTTGAGATTCAGTGTTGGTGATTTGTTGAAATACTGATAACTCGGGTGAGTTTACTGGTTGTTTATCAGGTGGCTGTTGATCTGTTCGCCGAGTTTGGCAACTGGCATGCAGACGATTCGTCACCATACGAGGAGACATCATCAGTGCACAGTGGTGATGTCTCCTCGTATGATGACGAAACGTCTGCAAGCCAATTGCTAAGCTCGGCGAACAGATCAACAGCCACCTGATCAACAACCAGGAGATTCTATGTATTTTGTGCATGTAGTGGTAATTTATTGCGGTCCAAAATTCACTCCTCCCCGATATGATTTTGAAAGTCTTATGAACCGTAAAGTACAGCATAAACTAGGACTACACGCTTGTGTTTACCTAATGGCCAGGGTCATATGAGGAGTAGGAACCAACCTAAGGGTGGGAACCAAAAACCAGTCGACGATCGTGTTTGAGGAACTCGAAAACTAGCACTGATAACAACCAAATTGATACTTCGCTACATCCAGTATTGTAACTGTGTATTCGCTCAAACTAATAGTGAAATGTTTGCGGAGCTGTGACCATATAATGCGTGCTGCTGGGGCTTGACCCTGATAACTCCCGCCGAATTTGTGTAGGCAGTGAGGTTAACAGAATTCCGATTCAACAGTCTAAAGTCCATCAGAAACCTCTGAAGAGTGCTTAAAGATGGATGTACGAATCTGGATCATTTTTTTGGCAGTTTACGTTTTGTGGCCATTGCCAAGATCTGATTTTAACTGCGGCCCGACTACATATACTATTAGGAATAATCGTGGCATTGAGTTGCCCACTCTTTCAGATCTGCCTACTTCATGACACTGAAAGGGCAAATCGGTTGAAGCTAGTGATTTTGGGACGGAGCTACTTACGGAAGTTGTCCTGAGGATAATATAAAGCCGAAAAGCTCATAATCGTGTTACGCTAACAAGATAGCAATCTTCCAGATCTTCCCACTTACTGGAAGTCAGGATAAGGCAGCTCATTTTTCTATAGATGAGTTACAAAAGTCAAGAAGCAACGTCAACTTTACCCAATAAAACCCGTTCCGTGAACCGCGGCGAAATCATAATTTCCATTTTTGGAAGGTTATATGGCAAGTGGCTACGAGTTTTCAAAAGTGTTTTGGAGTTTTTGGGTAACGCGAGCTGATTCACGAATGGCTCAACAATGGCTTATGCCAGTCGGCTACCCGACTGCTTATTGGTTTTAACCACAAACCAGTCCTGCTGATTTCTGATGGCTGGTTGCCAAATTCGACAAGTAAATATTGCCTTAGTGGCATATAAATGCATTTATTTTCATCTGTTTCTACTTACACTTCAATGGCTGCTTTAAATGTGACATCATATACGGCCAACCGAATTCAGCTCTGCCCATTCTGCAAGGATATTCGTGGGAATCATATCACCCAGAGCAACCTTATCTGATAAGATAGTTCCAGTGTTTTGCTTTGAGGATAAATTGTACCTAAATGTCTCGAATGACGACCCGGTACTTTTCCTGTTTTATCGGTGGTTCGACTCGCCCGTTAGGACTTTCGGGAATAAGTGCACCCTGGAAGAGTGAGGTTTTTTCAGACGGGAGTGACGTAAGTGCAAATAGTATAATTCCAGCAACTTCCAACAATCAAAATCTATCATGCCCGTTTCACACCTCAATGACATTATCTAACGGAGAACTGGGGGGTTATTTATCTCGTTCACTATGAGATTATGTACTCAGGGACTTTGAAACACGTGAAAATATTTGAAAGTCTATTACTTTCTGCCCTGTCAACCAAGCGAAGCTAGATGAATGTCGAACAACAAAATTTCAGAATCTTTTTGTTTTAAAAACGCTTCCATGTGGGATAAGCAACAATTCCAATTTTATGGCCAACTCGCGTGGGCGGGAAAAAATGTTCAACAAACATTTGTCTCAGCATTCACTGGGATGACAAAAGGCGACTCAGTCTTTCGAGCTCCATGTAACATGTATACGAATTAAAAGTTTTCTGGTTTCTAACATGCCTTTTGCTTTACCTTCGTTTTCAGTAGGAAACAACTCAAATTCTCTTACATTGGAAATCCATGAATACGTTCCAAGGATGAGGCCAGAGTGATTCATCATTTTGAAAGAATCTTCAGTTTGAGTGTCGCCCCTATTCTTAGTTACTCATAAAGTTCACGAAATAGTTTTCGAAATGTTTAAGGTAAACGCGTTGTAGGAGCGTTCAGCGGAGTAGAAAATACAAACGTTATGCTAGCGGTAGTCAGGGCTACGCGGCATCTATTTTCCACATTCCTGTAAAAAAACCACAAATGCTGACACCGAAAGGGTGGCTAAATGCAGGTGAACGGTATCAATTCACTTGCACCTCACGATACTCTCTCCCGAGTATAAGTTGGAGGCTATTTATGACGGTTTCCTGTTCGCATGCGAATACACCGTGGTTAAAACTGAACTGAACTGAATGTCCGTCTACACTTCAATTCTCCCCGCACACTCGAAAATGATTTGATTTGGTTTCAAAGGAGGAAAATTGCTTCTGGTAATACGGGATTGACGAAATTTTTACCTCCACAACGGAGATCAAGTCCTGGTTATTTGACCTACTAGATATGAGGTCACCATGCAAACACGGGTTTGAGTGGTCCTCTTTGTTCTGGATAATACATGAACCAGCAGTTTGCAGTGTAATTTTTAGGAAAACATCTTTGCCATCAGTTTGAGGTGAATGATTTCAGTATTCATTCATATCGCAGATGCTTGTATCCGCTTCTTGGTGCTTACGATACATTTGAAGCTGCATTTAAAATGTTGTGCCTTTGTCAAAATTTATCTACATGTGGGTGATTGCTGAGTTAATATGGCCTACTAAGAATAATGATTTGTTAGTGTTTTGGGATAAATCCGTCACCGAAATATCTTAGGTATTAGCCGTTAAAATACTGAGGCTTTTCTGGAAACCACCCTGAATCAACATATTGAGCCTGACTAGTGATCACTTGCTTTGAGCAAAGTCGCATTAATCCTGATAATTCTTGTTCAGTCGGCTTCATTGGAGTTCCGACAAAGTGCTTGCCTACTCAAACACAGAAGACTGTATAGTGTTACACAGCAGACGATTCGAACAAATAATTTTCCTTTTTATTCATTCACTGATTCGCGTTGTCTTTTGTCCTGGTACCCTTCAAACGATTCTCACGCTTGCAAGCAGTGGCATCTCGTTTATTTCCCCCCTTGGACTGTCACCAAAATTTCATACGGCAGCAAAAATTTGTGGCTAAGCCTTGGATTAGAAAAACTAAGTTTGGTGGGTGAGTGTGACAGTTGCCGTAAGAATAAAAATCCCCAGGTGGTAAAATGTGTCCGTTTGATCCGATATTTACGCTGAATGAATTATGCTTAGCCGATTTATTCGACTCAGGAAAAGATTAATATCATCTGTACTGATAGCCTTGTCGTGCCGAGGATTTACCGTTCGCGGCAATGGACCACCACGCAAAAACTCAGTAAACTTCTTGAAGCTGGACAGGTCCTAAAAATCGTGCTAACTACTTTTATTCCATTCGAATGAGAAAATAAGAGTTCGGTTTTTCGGTGTCAGACGAGCCATTATCGGTAGCATTCACTTCGAATGTGACTGTTTTTGACGGGTAGAATGAAGATAAGTGGTTATTTAATCATAAATGCTTCCAAGTGTTGGAATGCCTCTACTGCCTTACGAGGTTTCCCAAAGACAAGACCGCTG